TACATGCAGCCACATAGACACACACGCAGTCAAACACACACACATATACACACGAAAACAGACAAACAGTCATACATACATACATACAGCCTCATAGACATACCCGCAGACAAAACACATAAACATACACAGGCAAACATGAAGACAAACACATACGGGGACACACACAGACACAAACGAAGATATACACACAGTCACATTAAATATGCAGAAAAACACCGAGACACACACACATGCAGACAAACACAGAGACACACACAGACACATATTCACAGCTACATGTATCCAATCGCACACACACACATGCAGACACACATACGCAGCAAAGAGGCACACTTAAACACACAGAAACCAGTTCACACTGAAACATACACGTGGACATACGCGCGAACACACACACATTCGCACATACACAAGGACACAGACGCATACATTCGCAGACACACACGCAGATACACAAGCAGACAAACAACATACTCAGAGTCATATGTATACAAACACGCCTACACATACATATCAAGCACACGCGCGCGCGCAAACATACATATCATACACACCTTGTTTAATGATAAATTGATAATGCAATATGGAGAGAGAGAGAGAGAGAGAGAGAGAGAGAGAGAGAGAGAGAGAGAGAGAGAGGGGGGGGGGAGGGTGGATGAGGAAACATAAATGACAAAGAGAAACCCTAAACTGAACGATGTTAAAAAGGCCAAAGGGGTTAGACTTTGTCAGTCTACAATATCGAAGAATTGCATGACATAGAGAGAGAGAGTGGAATTTGAGCATGAAATCATGTATAAGGACACGGTAGGATGATGGATGGATGAAAATAGCACATAAAAACCAACTGCTTGTGTCGGCCTTAACAAATTATGGCTGGTGAAAGAAAACATATGACTTGTCAGGTCCGGAAACACGCACCATACACTGCATCTAAAGCAGTGGCACTCAACCTGCCGGTCGCAGCACTTTTTTGGGTCGAACAATCCTTTCACACGGGTCGCCTAAGACCATCAGAAAACACATGCTCATTGAAGTTATAAGGGTAAAAAATTGTTTGCGTGTCGCCACAACATGAGGGAACTGTATTAAAGGTTCTCGGTATTTGGGAAAGTTGAGAGCCACTAGCCTGGAGCATTGTATTCAGCTTATCTCCCAGAGGTTAAGGGTTAATTCACCTTTACGGTGTGTCGGCTGATACACTCGATCTGTTCTCATATAAATAATTATAGTCAGGAATATCAATCAGCCATCACTCGATCTGATCTCATACAGGCAATTATAGTCAGTGATATCAATCAGCCATCACTCGATCTGATCTCATACAGGCAATTATAGTCAGGGATATCAATCAGCCATCACTCGATCTGATCTAATACAGGCAATTATAGTCAGGGATATCAATCAGCCATCACTCGATCTGATCTCATACAAGAATTATAGTCAGTGATATTCAGCTATCGACATGATTAACGTCTAAACTGTATAGTAAATACCGGTGAGCCGTCGTACCGTGGTGGTTAGAAGTTCGCCTGACGACCTGAAGATCTTTGGTTCGAATCTTACATCGACTCTGATTTTTTTGGGGTCATAAATGACTTTGCCTGTCATGTCGACCCAGCCTCAAATGAGTACCTGGTAAGGTGCTGTGAAGTAGAGGCAACCGGTGCAATGCTGATATCATCATCCACAGAATGCCGCGTTAGCAGTAAATAGGGTAAATGGAGAAACACACAAATACTGACTTAGTTGTAAAAGTGCTGTCAGAAAAGACAAATGACAATTGTGCGTTTTCGAACAGTTTATTCAGCGATAAATCAGTCAATGTTATATTTTTATGAATTTTATTTTTTGTTTTAAAACATATTTGAAAGTTTAAAAAAACAAAAAACATAATAAACACACAGAGCAACTGGAACATTATTAAGTCTACAACACGCCACTTGAACATGTGCAATTTGATAGAATGCACATGCGACCAAGAACCTAGCTGATTGTTTTGGGGTGTGTGGGTAAAGCGACATAAACAGATGTTTCGTAAAAGATTTCTGTACAGTTTGTTTCGCTGTACCGAGTGCTATGTCGAGTCTTAATTCAACATTTAACACCTATTACACTTTCTGTAGTCATTACATTTCATACAGGTGTTGTGTTTGTTTCTTTAGTGTGTTTCTTAAGTGTGTTTGTGTCCTGCGTTTCTTTGACATGTGTATATCATATGTGTTTGTCTGTCGGTGTAACATGTTTGTAGTAGGGTGTATTTGTTTAGTGTGCGCCTATAATTCTAATATTTTTTTTCTTGTGTTAGTGGTGTAGAGAAAAGCTCTAAAAACAAAGCACCCATTTTTAAGATGGAACAGCAACAGAAGCCATTCAAGTGTGTGGTCAACCTGTCATCAAATGGCTAACAAGATTGTCAGCACAACGTGGGAAGATTGGTAGCAGTCAATTGTAGCAATATTTTGGAAAAAAAGAGGTAATACAAGAGACTGCACCATACGGAGGTTTATCACTGCTGAGTTACACAGTAAAAATGTAAGCTAAGTTATTAGAACAGAGTTAGACCTCTAGCCGAACAGATCCTAAGTACAACACAGTTTGGTTTCAGGAAAGTGAAAGATTGCACAGATCCATTTTTTAAAACTAAGTTTGGGGGAAAAAAAACCAACATATAACAGTGAATTTGGCATTGGGCTTGTAGATCATTGGGTATTCTGGTGCATCATGGGAAACAAGGGCAACTAACTGGCTGGGTAACATCGTGGCCATGTACCACACTGTCCAAGACGGTGACAACGCGAGAAGGCATGTCTGAGATGTTTACAATCAACATAGAGGTATGAGCTCTCTCCCCTCTTATTTAATATATACACACACAGAATACCATAAGAAGTCAGAATCAAAGCAGTCGACCCCCCCCCCCCCCCCCCACAAAAACATCACAAAATAAGGAACTTTCCAGTGGAAGAATTAGATCCACACACAAAAAACGACATACTGTCTGCAGACGACCAGTGCCTGTTCTACAACGAGGGAAGTAGACTGGAAGACTATTGCAACAGGTTAAGTTCAACAAGCAAAAGATAGAACATGAAAGTAAATACGACTCAAAATGAAATAATACAGGTCAGTAGAATTTTTAGTCCGATGCATATCGGGCTGGATGGTACTGCAAGCCTTATGTGGCACAAACACACAAAATTAAGACCCCCTTTAGGTAGGAAATAATTAGGTGACCTGTATCTTGGCCAGGTAGGCCACTTCTCTATACGCTGAGCAGATACTTGGAAAAACAGCTCTCTCGCAATCATGTACACACAAGTAATTTGGCTTTTTTTTTGTTATATATCTGCAGGTGATATCAAAGAAGACGTAACTAAAAGCAGGAAAGCACTGACAGGTAGTCAAATCTGTCTGTTCCATCTGAACACAGGAAGGACCAGCATTAAACAATACGTGTAAACTAAAACAGTTTTAGAGCTTCGCGAAACAAAGCCAGCGAAAAATGACTGTCGCCCTCGAACACTTTGAATTGCTACACATGGATAAGTTTCAACTGACTGGCTGACTTTTTACTCCATTAGGCCAGAACATCAAACAGACCGATAAACGCCCGGTGACACAAAGAATCACTCTTCGGATGAAAATCACTATTGGAGAGGTCCCAGAAACCCCGTTTAACCGTTCTGTTATATTAGGGACCCCGGCTACAACCATAAATTAATGAAAAATTTGTCCCATCAGTCAGTACTGACTAACAGTTAGTTTAGTTTCTTCCACTAAATCTAAATCACATTATGTACATGATATGCAAACCAATATACAATATTGTTATTATACAATTAACACATGGACAGTAAACAGCAGAAGTTACACGAGCAGACGAATACAACTAGAAGACGATGGACGTGCAAGTAATACAAACACAAACTCTAGGATCTACTAATAATTCTTGTCAGTACTGCACATTTAATACCATTTATGTAGATCATCGAGGAGGAGGCGGGCAGTCCGGCTGTCATAGATCACTGTGCTGGCCAGGTTTTCATGACATGTCAGGTGAATTCTAACATCGAACAGTTTTGCAATCGTTTGTTGACAAATGCTGACAAAGTGAAGTCGCGGAATGATAATGCAACTTTTTGTTACGTTTTACTGGAATTCGTTTTAATTTTAATAAACTACTGATAGCACATACTGACAAATTCTAGAAGCGAGACATTTGTTGCAACACTTATGTACATATAATGTAATCACTGAATTTAACGCTGTTTATTGTCACAATGCTTCACCATATTGACATAGAAGAGACGCGGGGCATTGTTGCTGACCCACACCTTACATGTAACAATAAACATTCACATTCTACTTGTCCACACACAAATCCTCTAATGGAACAAATGACAAACGGTGCATGTATAGATGTTCATTTTTCTAATAACAAAGGCTTGGCATACTTTTGTTTAAATAAATGTTCAAACGATGCACCTGTCCTTAAAATAAACAGGCATTGATTATTCACGCACACAATCTCAACAAGACACAAAGTACCAAGTGGCGAGTACGTTCCAGTTCCAGCATTGTTCTAATCTTCAGCGCCAAGCATGTCAGAATCGTTCACTGGCGGGTCGATGCAGTTCACATTTCTGGCTTCTAAAACCTACAATTTGTACATTTAGACTCTGTAGTTTCCTTTCCTCAATCCTACAGTGGAAGTTTTTTTAAACTTCTCCAACTCATATATTTCTGCCTTGAACTACAAATGTTTCCATTTATTACTGGTTGTGCTAAAGGTGTTAAGTTGTTTGTCACTTTGCTATCGCTAATACCACGTTGCAATAGACAATGACAGCTTTCAGGAAACTTGTCATGTTTTGCATGTTTCCCTAGTAAAATAATATTATATTATTCTTGTTGGCGAGTTTAAAAAAAAAAAAAAAATTGTTATTTCGCACATAGATACAACTTTTAACAATGATATCACTGGGAAACAACACTTAAGACATGTTATTGCCGCGGCCAGTACCCGTAGGTCCAGGCCTACGTTTTGGGGTGCCCGAAGTTGGTGGTAGCCTCACCTGCTTCCTGCACGGACGTCGAACAATTGACGGCTCGGCCAATAGGGGCAGCCGCAGTTGCAGGTTAGTGACCTTTAACCCGTTGTTTTCGTCAAAGCCAGCCTCCATCTTGCCGTTACAAACCATGGCTCTTTTCTTGGAATAGACAAAACTGTGGGAGCCTCTGGTCAGCTTGACTGTCCAGTCTTTCTCCACCTCGATGTCCACGAATCTGTTTCCCAAACGTGTAGTACCAAAATGGGGAGATAAGCGAATGAACTTGGCTCCAGTAACCACAGTTACGTCTCCACCGCCAGTCTGCGTGACTTTCACACCGTTGATCCGAACAATGACTCCACCCTTTGGCAGATTGGCGTACTCAGCCTGGGCAGCAACCTGCATACAACTGGCCACTAACGATTCCCCGTAACCTTCGGACGAGAACAGCAGATTCACTGACTGGTCTCGGAAAATGTCAGTGAACTTGATGGGTGCCGTGGGCTGCAACTCGGTGTCCTCCAACTTAAAGAAGTTGATGCCGTTTGAGAAGACAATGACTTCGCTTCCCATTCGAGCTCGGAAATTTAAAGTTGCTATATCTGTTGTGGTTCCTATCTGGAACACCTTGACCGCCGGATGATAGAGGCAAGCGGCTGTGCCTCGACTGTCGGTGGCCACTGCCATCATGTGGTTGTGGGAGACCACCCTGATTGTACGGTCCACGGTCATTTCCACAGACATGTCGTTGCGGAGCAAGACTGAGATAAGGCCAGAACTAGACACGTAGATTGAAGGATACACAAAGTACTCGCTCTCGGCGGCACTACCACCTGTCACGGGGTAGCAGCAGGTGTCAACGTGAGGTCCTGGTACAGGTGAGCTGTCAGGGCGGTAACTCAGGTCAGTCCATGAGTTGTCCTTGGTTGGGAAGTATTCACTGTAACAACCTGTAGGTGGCATGTAGGTGGAGTAGACATTCTGGCCTGCTGTGTAAGACCCGCCTGACAATGATGATGATGGTATATACGAGTGGTCAATAACGCGTCCTGCCATGTAGGGGGGTTGGGCACTTTGGGTGACTGGAATATCCCGTCTGAACATTCCCTGGCTTTGATTTTGAATGACATACTGTGGATGAATGTACATCATATTCGATGGTTGGTTACCTGCTGAGGTGCCCTCCTCGGGGTGGATCTCCTCGTGACAGATGGAACGGTTGCTGCTTCGGTTCGGTGTTTTCACTGTGCTGGCCCCAGGCGGGATAGGACTGGCGTCGCTGATGCTGATAAAACTACAGTCGGTATTGTCAACATTCTGTCCTTTCCTAGGCTTGCGCATCACTGGTGTGGAAGAAAACCGGCACATAACCTCTATGTCGTCCTCGTTGGTTGCATCAGCACAGCTGGACAACTGTCTGCTCATGGGAATCCCTAGTAGAGAGACCGTGTCTGCGTCACTGATAGGTGGTCGTTGAATATTGATAGTTGTGTCTGTCGGTGGGGTGGTCAGTAGCTTAGCATCATTCAGACACTGCGCATCCCCAACACTCTCGTGGCCTTGCCCAAACATACGCTGGCCATCATAACATGGCTGCATGTTGGTATGGAACTTTGACCCCTCAGTAATGACATCCCCATGGAATTTATCAGGCGAGGCTGGGGTAACTATAATTGTGGGAATTGTGGAATAAAAGTTGGGTTTCTCGTTTTCAGCGTTTACCTCTATGGTTCTCCTTGCTGCCTTGTCCGGTGTAGTCAGAGCGTTCGCATCTTCAAACTTGTCCATCTTCAGAGCACAACGGTCTGCACAGGCCACGTCGTTCTGGTTTGTATTGTGGTCGTCCGTGTCTGATGCAGTATTTTTGTTGTCCATAATTCAGAAGCCGGCATCTGCATTCTCTGTGTTTTGTAGAAGAAAGCACGATGCCGTTAGAGTGGCCATTGCTTGACCCAAACAGCATCAAGTCTATGACGCTGCAACAAGGTTTGATGACGTCACACACAAGGCCCGGTTGCCTCTCTTGTGGGTAGACAGCTAGTTTCTCTGTTCGAGATTATTCTGTGCTTATAACAGAGTTCACTGAAACGAATTAACCGCTTTTTTTGTGTGTTCTGCTCTAGTCCCCTGTCGTATCTCAACAAAGAAGCATCGAATGAGAGCCTTGGCATCTTCTGCGAAGGTGCTCGGACTTACGACTTTGGATATAACATCTATCCATCGTCTGCGTGTGCGACCTCTATATTTGCTTCTTTTAATTCTAGGTGACAACGTACCGCTATCGAAACCCACTGCTGGCTGTGTGGATTTTTATTGTGGTATGGGGGGTCGCAGTTCGACGCAGCCAAAAAATGGTATCAGGATGAATGTCCTGGGGAAGTAAAGACGGCCGGCGTAATGCTGAACACATTACCCATCTAGTTCCGATGGTCTGTAAAAACATGGATGCTCTTCCCACATGCCCAATGCGCCTAAAGGAGGGAAAAGAGATCTGTACTTTTTTTACTTTTTATGTCTGGGTGACAGAGCTTTACGTTGCTGTACTGTGTAGTTGTCATGACACATGTCCAAACCATTCGATCTGTTGTTTTTTGGTTTAGTTTTATACTGGTCCCGGAGGAGTTACCATGTGATAGGTTACATATATATGGGGATTTCAAGGCGAGGAACAGAGAATAGGACAGCAGCGGAGAAAACCGACTAAAATGGCAATGAGGTGTGGAGATGCAGACACAGCCATTGACTTGACATTTGGCTCCTAGTCGTCGGTTTTAGATGTTAAATGGACTGTCCTGAATGACTATGGGAGTGATCACTTACCATGTGGAGTCATGATTTCTAAACCCAGTAAGGTTAAGTCTGGAAGACCACTTAAGACCTTCTGGTATAAGTGGACCAACAACCTACTTGGACACCTCCGACAGGGAGCATGCAACAGAACTGCCAGAACTGATTTTCTACAGCCTCCATCGTAGCCTCCAGAAGTAGAACAGGCGTGAAAGGCAAAGAGAGCCGCAGTGAAGCAGCTAAAGAAAGTACGACAGACACCTTCAAGCTCACGAGAGGAAGTGGAGATGGCAGAGAATGTGAAAAAAAAGATAAGGTGGAGGTTTTCAAGCGCTGTGCTGCAGAGGCCAAAAGTGCAAAGTGGGAAACTTTTGTGAATGATATGGGAGGCTAAAAAACATTGAGGAAATTCTGGAAACTGCAAAGGCAGATGCAAAGAAAAGATAGGCCAGTGACAGTCGGAACAATTTGTAGAGACGATGGTGTGCGTATGACAATAGGCAAGGAGAAAGGGGAGGCTTTTCTCCATAGGTTCATAGCTCAGACAGATCATAATAGTGTAGACATCAGGGATGCAGTTAGAAAGGAGTTAGCTGGCAACTTCAAGAATATGCATTATGAAGATATCAAACAAATTTTGAAAAAGGCAAAAGACACTGCACCAGGGCCTGATTGGGTCAGGTATGGCCACATGAAGGCTTTGTGCAATGTAGACCTGACAGAGATGGCCGACTGTTTTAGCCAGAGCATTAAGAAAGCATGAGTTCCGCAGAACTGGGTACACAGCTATCCAATCCCACTACCAAAACCTTTTAAGGATCATTCTAAGCTCAGTGGCTTTAGAATCATCACCTTACAAAACACATTTGGGAAGGTCCTGGAGAAGATAGTTGCTGCAAAGCTGCAAGAATTTTTGGAAAGGGGGAAGCTTCTCACAAGAGGTCTGGGAAGCTACAGGCCAGGAAAAGACACATGGGCAAATGCGGCCACTTTTGCTTTTGACGTCTATGGAGGGTTCCAGAACAGACAGGAAACTATGGCGGTAGGACTGGATCTCGAGGATGTTTATAACATAATGAGATACGATATCTTGATGACTGCACTGAAGGAGAAGGAGGTCAGTCCATGGCTGTGGAATTGGGTTGCAGCTGTCTTGAATTCACGTCGGGTTGCTCTCCGACTGGGCTATTGGACCTCACAACTATGCAGTTTGGCCCCAGGACTGCCACAGGGATCAGCTATCTCGCCTGTGCTCTTTAACGTGTTTACGAGCAAGATTGCAAGCCTAGAAGCACCAGGAGTTGGAAGGATACTGACTTTTGCTGATGATATACTTGCATATAGACAGGGGGAAGAGAGGGAACAAACAGCTCGGGAGCTACAAGCGACAGTAGACAAAGTGACTGAGTGGTGTACAGAAATGAAGGCTGTCGTCCACCCGAAAAAGGCGTCTGTTTTGTGCTGTTCTCTGGACAACAGAATCGTTAAAACTAATGTCCCAAGTCTCACGATAGATGGTAGAGACGTCAACAGAGAGAGCAAACTGAAGTATCTGGAAATTACATTTGACAGGAGCCTGTCATTTAAGGACCATGTGGAGAGTGTTTTGACGAGATGCCAAAAAGGACTTAGTGCACTTAAGACAATGGCTGCAATTGACATAGAGCAGAGAATGCTTTTCACGCTATATCAGCACCTGATCCTGTCAGTGGTTGATTATAGCCTGGGACTGTTTACCGTCTCAAAGAGTCAGATGGACAAACTAGAGCGCATACAGAACGCAGCTATGTGGGTCATTCGGGGTTGCACCAGAGACACCGATACATCCTTGGTTTGCCAACTGTTGCAGGTAGGCACAAGGTGTTGCAGGCGAAGCCATATCTCAGGGTAGCTGCAGACACAGACCACCCTTTGCATGAAGCTCTGGGTGCAGTTAAGGGTCAGAGGTTGATAAGAGGGAAGTCAGGAATGGCTCAGACAGAAAACACAATAAGACAGGTTTGCATCCTTGAGAACATTAGACGAGGAGAGGAGTGGGTCAAAGTGCCAGCTGAGCAGTCAGACTTGTGTAGAGTCATAATCACGCTGAGCCGGGAATGCAGAGACTGGCCAGCAGGTGCCACAGAGGTGGAAATGTAGCAAATTAATTAAAGATAATGCTCGCTCAGAAGATTTGATCATTTACACAGACGGTTCAGTGTCAAGAGGCAAAAGAAGTGCTTGAGGATTCTTAGCAAAAGTTACTGGTCGACGTTTGGTGCAGGAAAACCTAGCATATGATACCCCAACATCCAGCCGAAGAATGGAGGTGGAGGCGGTCACTGCAGCTTTCCGCTGGCTAGAGAACACGAGCCACACACACATTGTCATTATAACTGACTCAGAAAGCATGCTGAGGTAGTTTAGGAGTGGAATGCTTCACTACGGAGGACACGGGTGACGAGTATTGTCTGGATTTTTTCACAGGGGACGCCGGTGTGTTGGGAAATGAACAGGCGAACAGACTGGCTGGCTCTGCGAAACTTGGTGGAATACTGATACATGATAATGCAGACGTGGTTAGTGCCTTGTTGGAGAGCGTGTACAGTTCGGAGGAGCAGATGGATCACCACAGTCTGGTGAGATTGATGCATGGGGGAGTGGCGAGGGGTTCTGGCAGATGCTCGATACTCAGAGGAAAGGCAAGACGGACGTTTAATCAGAATGCTACTGGCACCATTAGTATCAGAACTCTTCACTGGCTGCTGAAGATGGGGACGGAGAGCTTATGGGAATGCCCCGAGTGCTGTTATATCGGTTTTTGAAACAAATCAAATCAAATCAACTGGTCCCGTCCCAACTTCAAACCAGATCGTAGTGAGTAAAATTGCTTTTTTTTAACGTTTTATGTATAGTTATATTTGCCAGCAATGTTGAGCAGCAGCAAAACTAAGACGTCTGCATTTTTTTCTGTATCTTAATCCGTTACTGTGTGATGATATCAACATCATCATCAACACTATATCCACCATCGTCATCACTACCACCACCACCACCATCATCATCATCACTACCACTATCATCATCATCACTACAATCACCACCAGCATCATCATCACTACCACCGCCATCATCATCATCACCATCATTATCATCACCATCGTCATCATCACCATCATTATTATCATCATCACCACTATCATCATCATCACCACCACCATCATTATCATCATCATCATCACCACCACCATCATTTTCATCATCATCATCATCACCACTATCATTATCATCATCATCATCATCACCACTATCATTATCATCATCATCACCACCACCATCATTATCATCATCATCATCACCACCACCACCATCATTATCATCATCATCATCATCATCATCACCACTATCATTATCATCATCATCACCATCACCACCATCATCACTGAAAGGTTGCATCTGTTGGACGCGTGAATGTGACACTGTATATTTGACGACGTTAGTAGTTCTGTTCTGACAGAAGACAACAAGATGCCAGCCTGACGACGATCCGATCCCAAGTGGCATCCAGCCAGTTCTAATTGCTCAAGAAATCGAACGACCATAACTAGAACAGCCGGAGCAGCCATGGTGTGTATTCTGGCTGTGAGGGAAGAGGACTGAGAGTTATTGAGTGGGAACGAGAGAATACTCCAACAAGTTGATGTTTGAACAATGTCCTATTATCTTGCTGGACTTGCTAGTTCGTAGTGGACACTGAACGGACAAATCACATGTGAAATTTGATGATGGGCATTGCATTAATAGTGTAAAGAGTTGAAAAGACCACGTTAACTTCCCTGGGTTAGGCGACACTTGGAGCCCGCCTACAAAATTTGATTGACAAGTCACCGGTCGAAGAACAACACAGCGTAGAAACGGTGACCTATGAATACAACGGAGAATGACTATCGAGCTCTTAAAGGAAAGCTGTAGAAAATTAAAGTTATAGATTGAACAGTGTACCCACTGATTGCGTCATTTATAGACAGCGGAGATGGCGCTTCATTTAAAAGACATAAGAAAAAGAGGTTTTTTTTTCACACTGCACCGTGGACAGTTAAGTCATCACC